ATATCTTTTGGCCCATCAGAGGAGAGAAGCATGGCCTCCATAGCAGGAGCATGAGAGCAGGACCGCAATCTGCTGCTCCTTCAAACAAACAAGGGAATGCTTCTACTGCTATTAATGCTAATTTTGTAATATTGCTTCAGCATTTCTGAATTGTTTTTGATTAAAAATGTATATTTCTTTTGTCTTTTTTGATAAATACATAAAAACCGTTTTACATCCTGGGTCAATAATCATAACAATAAGAACTAAGCTTTCTTTTAATGCTTTAAGTGGGAAACTGGAAATAGAGGATGTCGCAGACTGTACTTTCTCTAAAAAGGTGATATACTTACTTCTCCATCCAATTCCCTTCTCCCCTCCCCTTTGTTATGATTGGACAAACAGAGGAGAGAGAGAAGGCTGCATTGCTGGGTCAGCAGAAAAAAGCTGAAGAGGAGAAACGTTTACAGATAGAGAAGACCCTCAAAGATGAACGTGAAAGCCATGAGAAGGTAGTTCAGGGGCTTAGAAAGAAAATGGAGGCCGAAATGGCCCTTCAAAAGAAGGAGTTAGAAATGACTTTAGAGTGCAAACTCAGAAAGCAGAGGGATCTGATGCAGCAAGGTTTTAAGGCGAAGTCTGATGAAATGACACAAGCAATCAACAGCCTCAGAGCAGAGGTTTCACAGATACAATCATCCAACCCTATTGAATCCATTTTAGCAGCTGTGCTCCTTCCTAGTCTCCTATCTAAAGGATGCAGTTTCCGTTGTTGCTAACAGCAAGTTCAATATAAATCAATAAAATAACTACAGATGTGGACAAATTTGTTGGTACCCTTGCAGCTCATTGAAACAATGCTTAATTTCTCCTGAAAAGTGATTAAATTAAAAGCAATTGTCTAATGTACACCTCCATGCCTTTAGTATGTGATTAAACCAATAAAATTGTGAAAAGAAATGATTTGTGGTTTATTTTACAAAGAAATTCTGAAATAGACGGATTTGTTGGTACTCATAAAGAGATTATTTATCCTTGCATTATAGTCATGTTTCAAACTAAGTGTTTAACCTTAAGTCAAAAGTAAAGTCTGATTTGTGTTAAATATAGAACAAACAATAAGAGATGCCATTAAACTTCACATGCTAGATAAGAATTCTCACAGAAGCAGACGAGAGTGAGAAAGAGGCTCAGTGTCACATCTGATGGGGAAGGCATGACCCAGAGGCAGCATTAAGAGGAGCGTATAGGGATTTAATGTGAACACAAACAACCAGAAAACAATGGTCCACAAGGGGTCTAAAACAGATAATAAGAAGGAGCAACGAGGCAGGAGTGGGGAGAACCGGAACAGGGAGGAGCATTGCAGGGAAGGGAAGGGAGACACCGGGAACCAGGAACACACCAAACACCAGGAACGACAACAACGACTGAGCTGGGGAACGCAGTGAGGGCAAGCACATATGTACACAACTAATGAAGGACTAACAAAAGACAGGTGTGGGGGAGGTCCGTGTAAGTGAGTATAATTCATTTTTCAATTTAAATCGGAAAATACAAAAATGAAAAAACAGGTAGTTTTCTCCATTTTGACTAGACCAATTATAAAGGGAAAATTGGAAAACGGCTTGTTTTGTGTTTATTGGTTTCTGTTTAAAGAAGTCAGAAAACACCTCGTATTCCGTTTGACTGGAGGTGGGGTGGGTTATACTGTAGGTGTGCCATCTGTAATTGGCCAGGTACATGGCAAAAACCAGGCCTCCTGCCTGATCCCTACAAAATAAGAGTTTCGGGTCTCCCCTGACCCCTGAAAGTCTCTGAGACTGTGTGAAAAAAGGGGGGCGGGCGGGCTGGACAGGCCCCCACCTCATTAAGACGTGCAGATGGGTAGAAAATAATGCGCAGCTCCAGTAGTCGGCCCCAAAAAGAAAGTGTAACTTTATTTGCTTTGCACCTTTAGGGCAAAAAAAAACAAACCACTCAAAGATTCAAAAAAATCTCTACGGCCTCACTTCAAGCCGTCACCACCAATACTGGCATTCAATGAGTCCAGGCCACAAATGAAAAGACTCCCTTACTTTAGCCCCCTCCCCTTATATACTGGTTCCCCATAGGTCAATTGGGACAACCCAAAAATACAGGGGGAAACAGATTTGAGTACCATATAACTACAACTTACAATACCTACTTTCACCACCAAAAAAAGCAGAATAGCTGGACATTAGCCACACACATTCCCTGACATTTCAAGCAACACACCAAACATTGCATAACAAAACAATAATACACATGACCTCACTCACCCCCCTGTGCCAAACCATCTCCTTCCCTCGTTCCAGAATTGGCAATAAGGGAACCTTCCCACTGCAGCGTGCGTTTCCGCAGGGAACCATTATGCCGAGAGACCAGAGAAAGCAGCAAATGGTGTATGAGTTTGTAAGAGTTGTGTGCATGTTTGAGTGCAGTTCTAAGCTTGCTATGGAAGGTGGATGAAGCTGAAGCAGTGGGTACCTTACTGTTTGTGAAGATGTTGGTGTAAATAAATTAACTTAGAGGTAAACTGCTGTGTGAAGATTTGCTGTTTTGTGAGTGTGTGTTTGCAGGGGATGATGGGAAATGTAGTTCATGTAAATGTAATGCGCTACCATTCATATGCCACCATTACCATCAGACAGAGTCCAAAACACATTCAAATTAAGACACCACAGATAACCCAAATTCAAAAGTGACCCCTTCACTTTTTACAGACTGAATGCTGAAACTTGGAAATTATTTTTGAATTAAAACAGTCTGAAATCTCCTCCTTGGATTGCCACCTTATCGTGGTGGGGGGGTTTGCGTGCCTCCGTGAACCTGGGGGCTATGTTGTCGGGGGCAATAGCCCCTGGTAGGGTCTC